AGTTTTGTTTCACATCCTTAACTCAGCGCGCGGTGCTGATATCGCGAGTTTAAATCTGTCTCAATGACAGATTGTGAATTATTTCGCTCAACCATTCGTGTTGCCCTTCAGTGGAAAGTTCGCCGCGATTGCCATACGACGCTACTGGGGAGCTTGTGAATTTCCATTTTACTTTTGGACGTCAAAATGATGGCGACGTTGCGTCAATAAGTCGGTGTTTCGATGACCGCTTATATTTTCAGCTCGCGGAGGCATACGCGTCCTATCGTGTTTCCAGCGTTCGCGATTCTCTGCCAGTTTTTGAGCTTCGACGGACTTTGATCCGAATCTGTAGCAGAGTCTGTCGAGTAACTTACCGCGGGTTATCCATGACCGTTCCCGGTGTCTCTTCGACCGGGTTCGATTGGGCATTGTTTCGCTTTTCTTTCTGAAATCATTTCCAATACATGCCTGCACCATGGCAGCTGTGTTATTTTACTCGGCAGAACAGCGACTGTGCAAGAAAGCTATCGCGGATTTTTGTACTCCAGACCGTGTCGAAATGCGTGAGTCCAGCTACTCCTCTCAGAAAGCCCATTTCAGCATTTTGTGTCCGGGATTAACGCTTTCCAGACATGGCCCATGACTCATGACCGTAGTTGAACATCGGGATGAAAATCGACAATCGTCCTTTCTCATCTGGGTTCGGTATCATACACTTTGCACACGTCTGAAACCATTTTTGTTTTTCTCATCATGCTGTATGACATGGATACGTAAGTACAGTACGTATACGATAGTTGTCTACGTAAGCACAGAATTTTTTTAAACATTTCCTACGTAATCGTCAGGCGAAAATGCAAACTTTTAAAACGAAAGTTTTCTATCATGATTATACAGTGTTTCTCGCTCAGCGAGTGAAAGTGTTTGTTGTGCTCACAAACACAGAGCTTTCGATCGATCTATAATGGGACAGATAAAATCAATTAATCGATGCAGATAACCACGAGCCAATGATATAGACTCTGAATCCTGATTGAATGACTTTGTGACCTGTCAGTTATCCTAATGGAATCATCCTCAGAATTGTACAGGTGGAACAGCGGCATCGTTGTCCACTCAGTTGTGTCTTTTTCTGTTGTTACACAATACGGTGGGCTAAATGAGATCGCTGGTGCAGATGTGCAGTGTCCGCACCCAGGCAGAGTGTGCCGAAACGTCATAGACCAAAATTTCGAAATTCAACGCTTTTCGAAATTTCAGAAATTTCGAAATGCGCTGAGCTTCTGCACGGCGTAAGTCAGAGGCCACCGGCGCACCTTGCACCGGAAATGCAGCCAGTAGGTCAACGCGGATTGGTCCGCGAGGATGGACAAAGAATTCGCAGGCGTATATAAAACGACCAGTCAGCATTGGACCAGGGAGACAATTATCTACATATAGACACCATGACATCTCGTGTAGGCAGTTGTTGCTATTTCTGTGCACGCTGTGCTTGCAAGTAAAGCCTTATGATCAGGTTCTACATCCTGTTCGCTAGCAACCACCAGCCGGTTGCAATATAGGTGCTGCACCAGGCACAAGAAAAAGATACAGCACTTTTCGTCCTCTCAGCAACAGTGTTGAACACGAAGATTACTTCGTCTACTACGACAATCTATTGCCACAAAATATGGTTGTGTAGAATTCGTCAAAGCGGCAGAAATTTTGGCTTCAAATCTTGGAGGTGCTCGTTTCGAATCCCGACAAAGATAAATTTTGTCTTGATAACTAATTCCCTCGAGAAAGTAGTTCACCCCACGTTACTTCGTTGTAGCCAGCCGAGGAACGAGTAGCAATTCACTTGCCAGCAACAGGCTGGCATGGTGATTCCTGTCTGAATGGGCAGGCGGTATCGCAGTGTTGTCTGGTGCGATCGCCTCATGCGGTTGCAACTCGTCTTGATCTATCTGATGGCAGCTTTTTCACTGTGATAATCAGTAGATGTAACTCGCGTTGTTATTGTTATTAATGAAAACAATATGGCGGAAGCAGTCGGTAGGTGAAACGCATTATTAAACGAACATGATTTTCTCCTAAAGTTTGTTTTTTGTTATTCTGGTACGTTTGAATGAAATTTGTTTACGGTATTAAATTTGAAATAAATTCGAATTATACTGAATTTTCGACTCGAAAGGCTTCAGATTAACCAGTTTCAACACCATATATTATTGAGTGCTTCATTACTATAACAAGTAGTTGGAGTGCGCACAGACATACGAATTGTGTCGCAATGTCTAGGTCATTGAAATG